ATAATAAATATTAAAATATAATTAGTACACAACTAGTAACTACATAATAATATATTATTACGTATTATATAAATATTAAGTAATATTAAAAATACTATTAATACTTATAGCTTATAAATATTAATTATTGTACATACCATACGTATATGTATATGACTATATACACATTATTATACATGGTCATTCAACCACATGTACCTATACCTATTCAAATATCATAAAAATTATAGTTCCGAATAATGTAAAATACGGTCCTTGACTTTTTGTAGATTTTATTTGATATCGTTCGTATTCGAATAGTAACCTTTTTGTCAGAAACGCATTTATTTATTTAATTATTATCTCAATCAGTTGTGTCGGTTGTAGATAGTACTAGGTATCTTGGTCTAGTCGTGGTTGTAATACGTCTATTCCCCTGTTGGAGAGGGATGGGATGCTCCGACATGGTCAGACATTTAATAGGTAACCATCATAGAAGTTTTTGTACAATATGTTATAGTATATAATAATATTAATACCTTATTGTTTTTAGTATATTATAAATTTGTTGCGTATACAGTCATAACTATAGATCTGGGAATGTAATGTTCTAAAAACAATGCTTTTATGCTCAAAAAATGTCAAGATAATGCACTTAATTATTTTAATTTTAAACAAGTTCTGAACCAAAATATATATTTTATTAGATTTAAAAAATGTTATGTAGGACTTCGCAAATTTCAAATCATCAACGTGGATTTTATCTGATTTTATCTGAAACAATAATTATTCCCATTTATATTTTCCGTTACCATTCGTTGCATTGATTTTTACGCGGTACAGACGTGTTTGAAAAATTATGATTCATAAATATTTGATTGGGTGAAAACCTTGTTAGCATGTTACAAAGTTTTTTTTTAAGAAAAAATCTTAAAATTACATTTTAAAAAGGCGGGAAAATGGACTAACCACTCTGTCGTACAGCTAGTAGGTGTCGTGTGGGTCACTGTAATTAATATGTTAAATTTGAATTCAATGATGAATAATTGTGTACGAAACACAATTATTAGAAAAGATAGGTCTGTTAGCCTTTATTATTAAGTATATTTTATAATTATGTGGCTATTTAAGCAATTTATTTTACTATTAATACCTAATACTAATAACAGTAGGTTGAATTTATTTTTTCCAAAAAAAAAATAGCATTTGAAAATATCACTGAGTGTTTAAAATATAATAATATATTTAAAAAGTTTCAAGTATCCAAGAAAAATATTTTTTAACTACAACAAAATAACTAAAATCGTTATTCTACGTTAAAATATTAAATTTCGTCTGAAATCAAACTTATAATGTCTAAAAAAAAACTATATTACTCGTATATACTATCTATTTTTAGAATTTTTGGTCACAGAATTGAGTACTTATGAGGAACTTTATTTAAAAATGTCAAGCTTATGACCAAGCAAAAATATATTTTATTGACATATTTGGAATTTAAATTTAAAAAAATTTAAAATTTAACACGTCTTTTAAATGAAAAACAAGAGTTTTTTTTGTTTGACAAAAACCAAAATAATCATTGAATTAAAAATTTTAAATAATTTTAAATCTGTCATCATACTTTTTCAAAATCCCCTAAATGGCTGTGTTAAAAAATAAGTGTATTTTAAAGTTATCCGAGTTTAAGACAGGGCAAATGTACTGGCATTATTTAGTTTGTCACAGATTACGCCGTGCAGTCCAAGCTAGTATAATAATATAATATAGGTATAATGTATATCCAATGAAAAGAAACTTTGATCACGAATGTCGATTGACGAAATTACACGAAAAGTGTTTAGAATATTATGTAGGATTATAGCCTTGCTCGTACGCACTATTATAATCGCCGAGAAGTGACGAATTATAAGGAATCGCGGAACTGTTGTCGGATACACACACATAATATTTTAGTATGAATCAGTACATATTAATTAAATAATTATTCTAGTTAGTTATAAATTACCATTTATAATATTTAGTTTACATATAATACTCCGAAACGAAATTCCCTTCCGGGTAATTAATATATAACATTTGCATAGTAATTATTTCTGCCAACAAAAATTATTTAAAAGTTGTTGAAACTTAAGTAGTATTATGTTTTGTTTACTTTAAAATGTTGTTCCGACATTTTACAAATACGAATTACTATAAATTATTATTTATGACAATTAAATGGTAATCCAAAATAAGTTCTCCATTTTTATACTATTTTCTGTCGGCATTAAACTTTTTTCATTTTTTTATAAACTTATTCAATAAACATGCATAAATAATGTTATATTATATAAAATAATACCAATATTACCTATCTTTTACCAATCATTAGCATATTTTGGATAGATAAAATAGTTTTACCAATATGTCAATGTCATTATTTTTTTATTTATCATACAATAGTCACAATTTTCAACAATCGACATAAAACTATTATGTAATAAATAAATATTTGTAAATAAATAAATACAATAAAAATTATTATTATTATTTCATTAACTGCATCTAACTTTTAATAATGAGCTGTTGCATAATATTACATATTCAGTGAACGATGTTACGATGTTATTCACAGATATTCTATAAAACAAAATATCACTATTTGTATTAGAAATTGTATTTTTGTTGTTATGTTGTAGCATTGTATACTTATCTAATTTGTAACTTTTTAAAACAGAATAAACTCTGGAATTACAAAAAAAAATTGTGTAGCTAGGTACTATTCAATTTTTTTAAGCACACCTTAAAATTTTTGAAACTACACAATGAGCTATAGAAATCATTATTAATCGATGTCTCAAAATTCTCCTCTTGCATTACTTGCAATGATTTTATGATTTATCGTCGCTTCGAAACTTATAAACTTATAACTACTCAATAATATTAACATGAATAGTTAACATCACTGTTCACATTTCCTGTTGTCAGGTAAGTTAAACGAGATAAAATGGTCTCTGCATCCTTTCAGGAATTTGAATTATAACGAAAGTGATATAATTTTTTATAGAACGATAATTTAATATGTACTGTGTTATGTGTTCATGACGTAATCATAATTTTTGTAAGTGATCATCAATCTTCATTATATATTATAATTCAAATAGTTACACTATAGCTGGTTTTCTCACGTACTTACAATAAATGTAATTGGCAATTTTAATTTTATCTTGTATGCATGTATGTTTATTATTTGTTATCTCTCTTCTATAATAAGTAATAAATGAATTAAACTATACACTTGAAAAAATAAATTTCATATACCTCACATCTGTTTTTCTAATGATGTATAAATTTAGTTTTCGCTATTTCGTACATTTTTTTGATACATCTAGTTCAGAAAAATATTACTATGACTATTGTTTAACCAACATATCGGGGTATACTTGGGAAAATATAAAATTTAAAAACAAAATTATGTTTCAGTAATTCCTAAAAACACATTAATAATTAATTACAAAAAAATCTTTAAAAATTAAAATTATAAGAGATACTCTTTAAATAGCTAAATAGGTTTTTTTGTGTGTTGATTTAAATGATTTAATCCATAGGTAGATACGTTGCTCAATATTTTTTAGCGTTCTTTGTATTTTGCATCTTAAGGGTGGATTATCTTCACCAATTCACTTGTATCCAACTAATCAAATTTAGCTTATGTTAAACTATAAAAGTTGACAAATCCTTAAATTGTAGCATGGTGCCCTCACTAATAAATAATAATGAAACTGTTCTTCAACCCAACGTGGATTAATTAAAAAATAGTACCTATCATGATTAAATTATACTTGTTTGAATTTCATTCACTCTATAGTAGTTACATTAGAACTCATCTTTATGAATAAAATTGTTTGAAATTTGTAGCTGTGAATTTGAACTTCGAACTCAAGAAAAACCATACTGAACGTAAAAGACGATTATCGAGAATTCGAGCAGTTTTATAATCATATACGACTGGTTAAGGTAGATGACCGTAGACGAAAACAAGCCAAAGCTGCTAGCCAGAAACGTCAAATACTAAAATACATAAACAAGAAAGTATGATATCCGATTTTATAATGTAAGACAACGAAGTTGTTTTCCTTACATCTGTCGAATCGAACGAAGAAATACGTAAGCGTAAAGCGCGTTTTGAAACGATTTATTTATCAGGTATAAAACCATACATAATAGTATAATGTAAATTCCTTCAAAGTACCTATTAAAATGAAAATGATTTGTTTTTGTGTTGTTATTTGCCGTTTAAATGGTTGAAGTAAGTAACATATTATTTTATTCATGATTTCATGAAGTAACCTATATAAATATCTAAAATATTATGTATTTATATGATTTTTGAATCTTATGACTTATGACTTACTTGTGTAAATTTAGTTTTCCTAAAAACTATTTGGAGGTAGATCCATACCAAGAGGATATCTTGAACCCCTCCGATATATTATTATACAAATTTAAGTCCGAAAAAATTATGAAGTGTGTGGGGGGGGGGGAGGGTGATCTTAAGGTATGTAATATTTTTCGAAACTTACTATCATATGAAAATCGATAAAATGTTATAGTGAAAATCATCTTCTAAATAAAGAAATATGTATAAATTCTATTGTTTTTGTATTAGGCTAAGGTATAAGTTTTCTTTTTGATGGGTCCATTAGACCTCCAGGGCCCTGCTTAAGGGTTAACGACGCAGGTAAAAACTTCTAAATCGTATGTATAACAACTATTATTTATGTTCAAATTTAAAAATTCTGTTAGTACTAAAGTTACAGCTATATTTTAATTGGACGTATTACTATAATATATTATTTTAATAAGCAATATCGCGCATTATATATTATGCACAGTACGTCGCGAGTAGCTGAAAAATAAATCAGCGACATTTAATTGTTTTGATCGACCGCACGTGACATGATGGTTAGTATAATGTAATATAATATACTATATAATACCAGATACCTAATAATGGTATAATATTGTATAATACTCACTCCTGACGGCCCAACTTGTGTAATTTCGTAAATTACTGTCGTAAATCTCAGCTTGTCTGCGGCATTTGGCGCTCCCTACGTGTCGCACGGTGAAATTCGCCAACGCTTGGTAGAAAAGATCAGAGACCCACGACCCAGGAATGCCTTCTTCCGGTGTACTCGCTACAGCATTTAACGCTACGGAGGACTGATTATTGGACGCCACTTGGCCGTTGGAGTACTCAATCGACAGCAAAGCGATCAGCACGACCGCAACCACCGCGGTTGGGCAAAACGACATTTCGAAGCCGTTCACTTATGATCCACCAGAGATTTAGAGACGGATAGACGAACAATATTTGGTCCCGACGTTGGCTTTATGCACCACGTGTTGGTATTTCACAATAATGTCAATTACTCGTATTATTACTATTCACTAGTTGCACGCGGCATGGCAGTCACTCGTAATTCGCCGTCAAAGTGAGTGCATTCCTTGTGTTTCACACTCGTCCAACATAAGACTTGGACTTGGACTTTTTTTAAATTACCTATCTGAAAAAACTTGGATTAGCGTCGCCGGAATCTGGTGGTCAAGTGCTGGATAGTTATAGTATGCTCAGGTATGATACGCGGTGGCACGCGGACAACAACCTTGTCAAAAACAAACAGGGGAGTAGGGAAATACTATGTATTATGTATTTATTCATATTATCGCAGCTGTGTAAAATCAAAAACGTAATTCTTTAATGTATATAATAGTATAGTATTACCTAGTAAAGTTATAATAATATTGCTATAGTTATAATAATATTACCATAGTTATAATAAGCCTCAGGTCTTTGCTCCGATGTAATTTATCATAAATAATAATAAATATTACATTATTAGTGTAAGTACACATTATAGTATAATTTATTTTTGTTGAGTTAATTACAACAATATTATACTGTTGTGAATCGTTTGACGGAAAACTTAATTCAGATTTATTTTAGCCCTTCCGCCAAAATAATATTTCATTAATTGAAAAAGAGATTCAAAGTAAAACACATCTAAAACAAAATAAAACATAACATTAACGTCAAGAAACACAGATTAAAAATTGTTGAACAAAAATTGGGCAAGTAACCACTCTTCTGCACAATATAGCAGTCAATAAATGTAGTGACGCAGTATTAAGTATTTTGAACTTTTTTCTGGGGGAGGGGTTAACATTTTTTTTAATTCTACCATTTTATGGGTGTTGATATTATAAGAAAATAGTTATTTATTTATTGTTATATACTTAACATCTTTGTATAAACATTATCTACATTGTATTATAATATAATAATATCAAATTAAAATTAAAATATCTTTAGTAATTCTTTTTTGGGGGATCTGTGGAAGGGGGAGTACAGTACCCCTAGACCTCTCCCTCCCGAATAAATGTAATATGTGTAAGTAGGTCATATTGTAATAGTTGTGACTTAAATTATGTTATTTGTGTGTTAAATCATTACATCTGTAGGTACAACATATACAAAAACTGAAAAACGATTTTGAGCAGAGACACTTTGGCTGCCAATATTACTAAGTATATTTTATTAGTAATATAAAAGCTAAGTAGGTTTTATACGGTATAATAAGCAATAGATCAAATTAATTTAAATATTTTTAAAATTTCATAAATATATTTAAAAATATAAGGCAAGTTAGTTTTGGTATACCGCTCTGCAGGACATTACATTAGGTGTCTTGTGAGTTGTGGGTCATTGTATGGATGTGTTAAATTTGAATTCAATAATATCACCGCAACTCATTTGTGCCCAAACCCCTTTAATGGTAGCTAATTTACACTCTAAATCATTGCCTTTATGCACCGGATTGACGATTTAAAACCGGCAGTGAAAATCGTGCTGTTATTGGATAGTTATAAAATAAACCTATACAATTTAAAATAATATTTTATCATTAACCGTACTGATCGAAATTGTAAAATCCCAATCGATAAAGATAATTGTATGATACATTTGTGTGAATTGCAACATGATGAGTAATAAGTAATAATAAAGTGAACTTTAATAATATAACTAAATTTTGCGAGTAAACAAAAACCTTGTTTTTCATTATTTTAAATATTACGTTACTACGTGGGTGGAAACCTTGTGTCTGGTGATATTAGTAGTTGGCGTTGTGATAAAAACAAGTAAACAACTGTAATGCATATTATATCAAATCGAGGATTTAAAAACGAAATTAACCGAAACTAAAGACATTCATAACTATGAGCTGGAAATTTAAGAAAGTTTAATTTCATTGGATGTTCAAAGTGGGTGGTGTAAAAGAAAAACATATGAAGAATTAATTTTACGACTGAATAAACTATAATACATGCAGAGCTTTCCACGTACAGCTAAGCATTCCGGTATTCATAATATCGTAGTAAATCTATGGGCTTACCGTAAACACCGGAAAATAATACCCTCAGCTCTTAAATTACTCAACGAGGCAATTAAACAAATTTCTAATTTAGTAACTTTAACGAATAAAAACGAATAGTTAATTTAATTTTTAGGGGGTTTATATAATTCTGACATTTTTGGTGATGGTAAATTTATACATATAAACACGAATTTTTTCAGCTAGACTCAATATAGGCCTTCATATTTTTATCAAATGTAAGACATCCATAATCAATATGTAAATTGATTTCATATACCACTGCTAATATTATTACATTTAAGCCATCAAAATCATTTGAATGTTATCAAGCTTGATAAGCTATGTGCAGGAACTTTATTTGCAATTATGTACGTATAAGACACAAACAATACTTACAATCCATTTAAATTTTTAAATTGCAACTCATATAGCATTCCTGAATGAATTTCTTAACATCACAATAAAGGCCTGTAGACATCATTTAGGTCAATCTTGGTACCGTAAAATAAACTCTAGGTCAATTCTTAAACAAATTATACAATAATCACTCATATGATAATGCTAAATATAAATATAAAAAAATAATTATAAATTAAAAAAAGACCACACACAATTTGTTTGCAAAATGTATACATCCATCGTTCCTCTGGGAAACTCGTAGAATGACTATTGAATTTTATGTTAGCAATTCATAAAAACTGTATGTTGTAAGTTTATATCATATATCAATTTTTTTATTTTAACTAACTTCGATTTATGTTATATTAGACTTTCATCATACGTGTATCTATTTTATTATTATTAATATTGACATGTACGTATCAGTGGCGTAGCCAGGATTTTTTTTTGGGGGGGGGGCTGATCAATTTTTTACACAGCGGTGGTTTAGTTTTTGATCGAATACCATAGACCATTAAAATAATTTTTAAATTGTATTAACATTTCGGAGGGGGGGGGCTGCAGCCCCCTCAGCCTTCCCCCTGGCTACGCCACTGGTACGTATAATGTATGTATAGGTTGACTACAAACTCAAACGTGTCATCCATATACGTATTCTTGAAACGCCAAAGTCTATGTAAAATGGGAAGGAAAGTTTTGTCCGTTGCACGTACAATAATAATAATTGTTCAACTATATTATATGGTTGAAAAAGTTAATTTTATGAAATTGAAAGTTCATTAAAACCAATTGGAAACAATTCTTCTAATAACTCACATACCCGTAGACCATACCCGGAACCAAATCGATAGTATTGTCAATCAATTCGTAGGCTTCTATTTGTAGAAACACAACCCAAAATATAGATGTCACACATAAACCATATACATCCAATCCACGCTGCCTTATTAATATCCGTTTAAATGAAAATCGTACACTTGCCGCGACAGTATGGGTGTCGTGTATATATCCAGCTCCCGATCGACACACACCCACGCGCACACAACATATCTTTTGTCTTTGTATATATTTTATTTTGTTTTTATTTTTGTTATAATATTGTGTCGTTTGCGAATTATATAACGAATAGATTACGCCGCCGACGGTTCGACGCAATCCAGTTAGTTCGCTACAATAAGTAGTCAACGCATGGCGCTAATCACCCATAAATTATATTATACTAATTGTTTTGATATTGTGAGCGCGAAACGCCACTGTGTTTTTTTGTATTGTTAATTACTAAGCGCATCTTCTTGAGCGTTTATATTAATTATTTTTGTATTTTTTGACAGGCGCAAATCGCCAGTGTTTTTTATATTATTATCTATAGTAATTATTGTCGAAGTCGCGAATCGCTGTTTCTTATATTATGTCGAGTGTGTCAATTTAGTTGTTACCGGATGGGTAGCAGCTGGACAATCGTGGACCGACAAATTGTGGGTTCTTGCAACATAAATTATCATTAAATATATATTATATTGTCCAGTCAGTAAGGCATATTTGTACTTTCATGAGTTACAGCTCAAACAGCTGCCTATATTTTTTTCTGTTGGGCCAGAAGGGCCATATATATATATATATATTATTATTAACTATATATTGTTTCGGTTTGTTTCTATCCGTAATGGCGCGTGTTTAAATTATTGTTTTATTTTTATTGTTGTGTTGCTGGGCTTAATATATACAATAAAGCTATAATAGTCGTTTTTTTTTTTTGTTACTAGTAATACAGAAATTTAATTACCATTGCAATCTCAGTTACCATCATTTATTTCATTGAGTTACCCTTCGGTCATTAATTTTAAGCCTACACACCCATACACATATATGCACACCTACTCATCCACCATACACCGGAGCTCTCGAGTTTTGCTCGGCGATCCCGTCCACCTCTCTTGAGTCGCTATGCATACATACACATATTACACAGGTCGGTCGGTGTGTGAGTGTAACGCACAAAGTAAATCGGTGACCCGACAAACGGTCTTTTATTGCTCAGTTCCCGGTGCGTACACGTGTATTACACAAGTACACCGATTTTTTGTAACGTTAATTATTTCAAACTAGATATTTCAATAAGAAACATTCAAACAACCAGGTTTCAAATGATGAACGTTATTACGTTCCCTGTTAATTGAAACTTTAAACATTTTTTTAAAAATTTATTTAATTAGACATGATGCTTCAGCCGACCTTGTGATAATAATCACATTTCAGTTGAATTTGCTATAGGTACACCGTCTAGCATAAGTTGTAATTTTCGTGGAAACAGACACGCACACAATGTACACTGGCTAATATAATATGACTCGTAGTAATGTAACACTATACACATACGTTCAGTTCCGCCATGATTATAATATTAGGGAACAAATTTAGTTAATTAATAATAATAATATGTATCTCGAGCAGTAACAGTTGCTTACCATAATTTATGTGGGTAAATTGGTATTTACATCCTTCTTCGGGCATAGTCGGATTTTTACTTAAACATTAGATATTATATATATGTACAGTGTACACCAAATCACATAATATTATAACAATAATTATATATTAATCATGAACTAACACCTACATACAGTAAAACTATTCTGGCATGCAAAGTAATTAACTAAGGCGTATGACTGGAAATACGTCTGGGATAACTCGGATGGCATTTTTACAAGGAAAAAAAGGAGAAAAACTGCATAGACTACAATCAGTCGATGATGTTTACAAATAAGGTACTAATTATACGTCAAAAATAAAATT